ATGCCACCAGCTGCCACGGAGAAGAAGGGGGACCGAGAGCTGACGGCTGAATGCCATGTGCGTGCTGCGCTGGATCCTAGGACAGAAAGGACTTCGAAGGACTGAGGGGCAAACTCCCGACGAAGCCTGGTACTCCGAGGCTACCCGTGCACCAGTGGCCCTGCCTGAGTTTTAGTGTCACTGCGTAATGCCACACGTTAATCACGGCGGACTGGGTGAGGGGTGGACAGGAGCTCTCCGTACCATCACGGCCACTTCTCCATAAATCTAAAAACACGCCAAAATGTAAAGTTACTTTAAAAGCACATCCTGATGCCACAGCAAGCTGCCTTAACCAGACCGCGGGCGGAAGCACACAGTACACGCTCCACGCTCCACAATCGCTTCAGGGAGGCTGAAGTTCAGTCTCCTCCACTCAGAGGCCAGGGAGCGTTGCTGTGGAAACAGCTCAGTGCCAGAAAGCAGGCCGCCTGGCAGGGAAGATGGGAGGGAGGCCGTACAAGGGGCCAGAGAGGAGGGGCTGCGGGCCGCAGGTAGGTAGGCTGGCAAAATAAACAGCCCCTTCACCACTGAATGGCTTAGTGCTCAGCTTTCCAGGGAGGGGATGGTGAAGTGCTAACTGAACAGGGAGCCCTTGAGTTGCAATACCAACCTGGCCATTCTTTGTTTTTTTGTTTGTTTGGTTGGTTGGGTTTTTTTGGACTGGCGATCTAACTGGGACCTTGTGCTTGCGAAGCAGGCGGCAGCACCACTGAGCTAAACCCCCGGCCCTGGCTATTCTTACAGATGAACAAAAATGGTCTGAGGGGTCCGTCACAGGGTGGCTAACACAGCCTGGAAGGGAAGCTTCCCTGTGTTGACGATGCAGAAACCCAGCCTTCGGGGACGAGTGGGATTTTTCAGGGGAGAAATGAGGTCGCCGGATTTTCACCGAGGGACCCACACCTCTTCCTTCACGGTCTGATCAGGAGCAGGGCCACGACATGGACTGGGGCCTTAGTAAAGGCAGGAGTCTTGGAGCGCAGCCAGCTTTGGGAGGTGGATCTGTGACTTTTGGCTTGATTAGCAAATGTAGGGCTTCTCCAAGTAAATGTTCTACTTTAAGCAGGGAAAATTTCACCAACCCCCCAGGGAAGGAAGCAAGAAAAGTCAGTCGTAAGTACTGAGGGGACATGAGGGCCACACTGCTGCTGGTCAGCAACACAGATGCCTACACAGGGTGCCGGCCCGGGCCCCAGAGGAACACATATCTGCCACTGCACCAGAGGGCCAGGGAGCCGGAGGGCCAGAACGTGATGAACGTGACCAGCGGTAAGAAGAGGCAAGACAGAGGGGTCCAGCTCATGATCCCCACCTCCCAGCCGGGCAGCTTAGGCCAACCCCAAAATAAGAATACACAGCTTCACCTCGCTCCGTGGGACCAGGAGGTTGAGACGCAGGTGTGCACGGCACCAAACACAGGTGCTGTCCAAGACCAAACTGCTCAGATAACAGTCTCTGCAGTCACTATGGTGACAAGTGTTAGAATTACAGCTCTTAGACACAGTGGACACAGAAGACAGAGTCCAAGTCACAAAGAACAAAGGCAAGGTGGTCTCCAACCCACTCTGCTAATGAAGGAAAGGGCCCCAGTGACTTAGGAGACAGGCACTTAGCTGTGGAGCAGCACGTGGAGCACCCGCAAGCTGCAGGGAAGGAGTCTGGGAAGATGGCTGGGAACTTTAATACGAGCTGGGAGAAGAGCCCATGTGAACAAACTCCTGCCCGCCCCAGCCTCCCTGGCGCTCACAGGAATAAAAATAAAATTAATCCCTTCTCTTGCCAAGCCTTTCCTCTCTGGCCTCCAGCGGACGGGGCTGTAATCCCCGCTCAATCCCTACCACGCTAGCTGTCTCTGCTTTTGTCTGCCCACAGCAGAACAGCCCTCCTGAGACGCAGACCTTCCTGAGTCCAGGAAGAGGTGCAGAAGGAGCCTTTCTTATTTAAAGAAGAATGCAGTCTCTACCTGAGATCTGGCTGGGACCCAAAGCACCGCCGCAGTAAACATTACTGAGTTACGCCGGAAGGGAGAGGCACAGCTCACTTCTGTGGATGGGGTCACAAGATGAAGCTACCTGAGCACCTCTGACCCCACAGATACTTGCAGAGGGGAAGGCGGGCGAGCACTGCAGGCAGGACAGAGACCATCAGTGTCCCTGTTGGTGCTGGTCCTAGGGCCCGGGACACCTGTGTCACCTCCCATCCTCTGTGGCTCAGTCTCCGAGGGGCAAGTCCTTGAGCTCTGTCCCACACATCGCTGACCCCTCCACTGCCATCATTACCACTGGGTTTCTGCTGTGGTAGGCGGTGGTGTTGTCTTTCTGGGAAATCTGTGCCTTTATTTCCCTGCACAGCCATTTGCTCTTATGGCCAAGACCTTATATAATAATTCTGTTATGTGCAGGGCACCTGGGGTCAAAACGTGCCTCTCTGTGACTCTCAGGCTCTGCACATGCGCCTCCATGGACACCCTGTGCACATCTTGTGCTCTTGGTGTTTCATACAGGAAGCCCTCACCCATGGGAGAGTGGCTGAGGAACCCCAAGCCCTCCAGGTCTGCAGAGGAGGGCCCTGCAGGGCGCCACTGCGCTACCTCTGGGAGCCCCACCTTCTGCTGCAAGGGGGGCCCTCGGGTCCTCCGGGGGTCGCTTTTATCACCATGCCTGGCTCCTAGGCGCCTCCCACCTGACCGTGAACGTCCCAAGAGGCCGGAACAGGACCTACTGCAGAGCCCAGCACACGGCAGGCACTCAGGGCCTGTTTGCTGAATGAAAGTGGCCAGGCAAACATTGCGGGAGCGGGCACTACCTGGCTGGCAGATGCAAAGCCGGCTCCTGGGAGAGGCTGGGTGTAGGCCCTGCACATTCCTGACCAGGGAGAAGCCTGGGAGCCCCCAGGAGAGAAGCTGGAAGATAAACTGAGTGCCGGCCAGGGCGGAGAGCTCCCTCGCCCTGGGGACCATGGACTCTGGCCTCCAAGGCCTGAGGAAAAACTCAGAAACAGGAGCAGATTCACGTGAGGCATTCGCGGAACTGCACATTCGCAGCACCCTGGCCTGCCATCTTCTAGTTCACCTTCCCTGCCTCTCGGACTGAAGTTCCTGTGAGCTCAGGGCCCAACAAGCGTCCACCCGCTCTCAGGCGGCAGCGCTCACCACCCACCCTGGGCAGCTCTGGGCACCGCCGCTGCCTTCCTTCAATCCCACAGATTCCTCCCTCCTGTCCGTCCAGGCAGATGCCATTCACAGGACAGGTCCTCCACCTCCTTCCCCTGGTTTCAGAAAGAAGCTGTTCAGTGTGAAATTTGTTTCATGCCAGTTAACAAATGCTTTTCACTGATAACAGGAACGGCAAGGGAAGATGGCATTTCTTACTGCAGAGAAGGTGGTTTCCTTCCCAGAAACCTTGAATAATACCGGGGACGCTTCTGAAGTCAACCAAAGCCCTCGATTAGAAAGGAAGTATGGATGGAGGGGACACCGCCAGCGTGAGAAGCCAGGAAGCCCTGGCCTCAGCCCTGTGCTGGCTGCCTCGCCCTGCCCCAAGCGCCGCAAAACCACCCTGCGATTTCAGATCAGCGCCTGTGAGACAGCACAGCCTCCCTGTCCTGGCTCCAGGCGCGGGGAGGCAGTGTCATTGGCTCCGCTTCAGAGGGAAAGCAGAGGCGTCCAGGGTGAGGGACACTGGGGCTCCAAGCTCAGTTAGAACCGCGGAGCTGGAGCTGACGATGCCGCAGAGTCGCTCATTCCCTCTGGAAGTGCATTTCCCAGACTGGGCGGGGAGCCGCCCTGTTTGCGGGGTGTCCCAGCCTTTTAATGACCGCTGGCGGCCGCCACGGAAGTCTCCAAAGCCCCCAAACTGCCTGCGTCCCAGGCCAGAGCTGGAGGACGGGGGTGGCCGAGGATCGGGAGGCTGGCAGCTCCCGCGCCGGACCCGCCCTGGTACCTGGGCACCGCTCTACCCCGAGCAGCTCCAGTTCCTCCGCCTATAAAGCGAGAGCCACAAACTCTGCCCTTTCCGTAACCGAGATGCCCTGCTGACGACGCAGGAGCGGGGCAGGGAGGCTCGGCCCACGAGCAGCTTCCCGGCCTCCCAGCCCTC